TAACGTTTGCGATTTATTGCTTAAACGCAATGAATTCGATCCGTTTTTAAAACGAATCATCACTGGAGACGAAAAGTGGATTGTATACAACAATGTCAATCGAAAACGATCGTGGTGCACRCCTAATGAGTCATCGCAAACCACTTCAAAGGCAAATATCACACAAAAGAAGATTCTGCTCTCTATTTGGTGAGATTGGAAAGGTCCGGTGTATTTTGAGCTGCTTCCAAGGAACCAGATCATTAATTCGGAGGTCTACTGTCGGGAACTGGACAAATTAAATGCAGCAGTCAAGGAAAAGCGACCAGAATTCGTCAATCGTAAAGGTGTCATTTTCCACCAGGACAATGCTAGGCTGCACACATCTTTGGCCATTCGGAAAAAATTGATGGATATTGGTTGGGAATTAATGTTACACCCACCATATAGCCCTGATCTTGCATCATCGGATTACCACTTATTTCGATCTCTGAACAACTCCCTCCGTGGTAAAACTTTTAATGATGATGACGCTGTAAAATCGCACTTACTTCAGTTTTTGGCCGAAAAAGATCAGACTTTCTACGAGCGTGGAATTTTCAAGTTGTCAGAGAGATGGCAAAAGGTCATCGAACAAAATGGACTATACATCATAGATTAAAGTTCATTACAAGTAAGAAAAAAAACACTTTTATTTTATGGAAAAAATCCGCAAGTACTTTTATGCCAACCCTTTATATAAATATTAGAAAAATATTATTAATTATTAATTAAAATATAATTATTAATAAAAATTTATACCATTCGATAACGTCAATCCATCTTCGTATTTTATGTGAACATCTTTTATATTTAATTGCAAATTTTCTATAATATTAGTTACTAAGGAAGTTCCATAATTCAACCAAGAACTATAACTAGTAGCATAGTAACCAGGATCTCTATCCGTATCAGCTCTCCATCTTGCTTCTAAAGATTCTAATCGATTAAGTTTGTATTCCAAAAGTGCTTGCTCCTCTGCTTCATTATCGTACTATTTAAATGTTCAATATGATTAATTGAATCAGTGAAATATTGTATATTCAAATAAAATTAGATAATAAAATAAATCCTTTTACCTCATCGATAGAAATTGGTCCTATTACTACATACAATTGATCTATTGCTATAACCCATGACGCAGTCCTTATTTGTCTAACTGGTACTTGCAATCTAATTTTTCCAATAAATCCAGATTTGATTTCAATTGGTAAACCAATGTGACGTAACGCTTCGCGTTTTAATGGTAAATTTTCTAATTCTACTTCTCCTAAAAGTAAATGGATGTGTATCATAAATGTAAATAATTCTTATATATTGCTGTAAATCTATTAATTCAAATTATGTGGCAATATCAAAGGATATAATTATACTTTCGTATATGTATATATAAATATATAATAATTAAACTGAATTTTAATTACTATCTCATTTTTTTAGTTTTTAGTATAAATTTATTTAGTAAGGAGAACAACTACTTTGTTATGTTTATTAACGATTCAAACGACAAAGATAGCAAATATGTTATATAATTAAAATAATATATATTTAAACCAAAACTTGTGTATTTTCAAGTAAATTGTTATTTTAAAAAATATTAACTATGATATAAAGTAAATAAATTTATTAGAAAAAAACATAATCTTACCTGATAAAAGTGCAATACTTAATTGATCCGTATTTAGATTTTCAACATATTTTCCTAAATAAGTATTTAATACCCAGGCTACTAGTCCTTCCAACATTTTGAAAAATGCGTCGTAATTTTTGAAACTGCTCTTACGACCGTGTATATTGTTGCAAGCATCAAGTAAATTTTCTAGGTTAAAACGAGTAAACTATAATATAAATATCAAATATATACAACAATGGGAATAACAAATTATATTGATGATAAGCTTTCATTTGAGCTGCATTTTATAAACATTGTGCATTTAATGTTTGTCATAACATTTTTTAATAATATTTAACTTGTTAACACTAATAAAAAAAAACATTTCCACACACTTGTAAATTCGGTTGACCACCACTGATATTAACATTCATTTATTGTTAGTTCGTATAAATGTATATACATAAATTACTAAATGTTTTAAATAAATATTTTTTCAATGTTTAAGAATTATTTCCAATCTTTTTTACAAATATTTATTCGAAGTTCAACTATAAAAATAACTGGTATCGAAGTATAAATATCTGGCTATATAAGGGTATCTGATTTCTTTTAAGGTTTGCAAAACTCGCGAACTATCCTATTCCATTTTACCAACAGAGAAATATTACGAATACTATTTTTAAATGTAATTATCGTTTCATGAATTTTTCATTAATATTAAGTTTTTATTTCCAATATTCGATTATAAAAAAAGGTTGATTTTTTAAAACTACGATGATTAATTTAATTCGTATGTACACCTATCACCTAGCTACATTCTAGAAGAAGTTATCATCTATTGGTAAGTTAGACAGGAAATAATTTATTAGACATATTTAGCTATTACAACATGTAATAAATATTTAAAAAATAGATATTTTTTATTTATATATTATCCTGCATGAATAAAAATCAAAAAGAAAACATTAATCTGAAATTTATTCATAAATCAATTTATTTAACGTTTCGATATTTTTACAAATAAAAATTGTCAATCGTCGTTATACATAAATTATTATATTTGTTCACATTGTATCACGTATCTCTAATTTAAAAAAAAATAAATGTTCATATTATATACATTAAAATACACATATTACATGGAATCAAAATGTGCTTTAGTGTGTAGACGTTAATGTTTAAAGGTTACAAAGATAAATAAATTCGTTTCAGAGTATACTTCCTACAGTTAATTTGGTATTTAACTTAATTTCATTTTGAATTATAAATATATTTTCAATTTTAATACATTTGTTTATATTAAATGTGTTTGATCAATTATTGATTTACTAGGAAAGCAATAAAATAAGGATAATTGAAAGGCAGATAATATGCAGCCCATAAAATTAGGCGTCTGGATAAATTTGTCATTGATTAAACAACCATAAACAAACCATTGACAAGAGACTATTAAAGAAGATAATATAACAGGAAATGGTAGACTATCTGTGTTCTTGACTCTTAAAACATGTACCTATAACATTTAGTATTAAGTATTTAGTAGTAGTATTAGTAAGTATTTCAAAATTATTGTTTACATATTCATTTGTTTATAAAATTTTTTCTTTTCAGTCAAATTTCATATTTCAATATGTATGCATACAAAATATTAAAAAAAAAATCTAATCATTATTAAAAAAAGCGAATATAATAAGTAAAATAGATTGCTTACCAACATAACTAAAGGTGATGCAAAAAAGAGAATAGTAACACTGCAGCTTATTAAACCAATATATTTTGTAGCAATTTCTTTATCTGTTTCATGAGCAACATAAAAATAAACGACTGCGAGGAAACAAGTTGCTGCTACAAATTGTTTTAGTGTTACTGATTTTTTTACACTGTATAGAATAAATATAATAACATAGCATACTTGCGATATTATTCCAAAAATATTTACTACTACTATAAAGGTATCACCAATTAAGAGTCCATATCTCAGCCACAAGCTACATCTGTTAAAATGAACTGATCAATTTCGAATGATGATTCATTCATACTTATATATTATGACTGGTATGTATACATAAGTAATATTATTTTATTTGATTAATATTTCAAAGAATACGTACGCCATATAACATGTTACAAATGCTAAACTAGAAGAATCTCCAGTTGTACTATTTTTAATATATTTTCTGCAGACTAACCTGTAAAAATTATATTTTTCATACAAATATAAATAAAATCAATAGAATTATCAATAGAATATCATTCCACTATCAAAATATAAATATATATGTAGAATTAAATAATACAATATGAAATAATATATAAATTCAATATTGATAAGATAAGAAAAGACATTAATTTTCATTATGAAGTCATTAATTTAATTCAATTAGAGAGAGATAAGATTGTATGCAAGAAATATTTGAGAATAATCAGTTACTTACACGCCAGCCAAAAATTGTAAAATTGTACATATTGATGCTGATGTTGCTAATGTATCTTTAATCTCCATTGAAACCATGATTTAAATTAATCATTCTATTATTGTCAAGCAATAAAATGTTCATTTGAGATAAGATACCTAAGAAATATACAACTATCATATCCTGGAAATTTCATGATAAAAGACGCGCTCTTTTCATTTACTTTTATTCAATTTTCTAAAAAATGGTAAATTCTTTTGGTGAATTTTAGTGTAAGATTATAAGTGATTTTTCTCAAAACGCTACATCGGAAATAGCCTAAATGTAAAATTTAGAATTTTTTCTACTTATTATATTAATAAACACATCATAAATTGCGATTAATTTCCTTTATTAATAAAAATAAAAAAATCGATCGTAATCAGTAAATTAATTATAATTAAATGCAACTGCATTTCTTAGTACATTGAATTTGTAACTAGAGGGCGATAAACTACGCGTAAAAAAAATAGTACGAATTTTGAATATCTACAAAGCTTATAGTTTATGGTCGTATTATAGTTAAAGGGAAATTTAATAATTTTAGCGTCAACTGTCAACGTTGCAGTCCTATTCCGAATTCCGGATCCATAAACTTTCTTAAAATATTGGAAAGGAAACGAAATTGAAACGGAATGTGCGAACAATCTGCTCAAAATGAAATTAACCAAAGTTATTGTTTCAAATGGAATGATTATCAAAATCATTTATCCGATGTAATTCGTCAACTTTTAGAAGATGATTGTATGGTAGATGTTACACTTTCTGCAGCAGGAGAACGTATTCATGCGCACCGTATTGTTCTATCTGCTTGCAGTACATTATTTCAAGTAAATAAATCTATGAGTGTGTTGAATTTTGTATATGTGTATATATTGTGTGTTGTATGACATAATTGCTATTAACATACTAAATGTTTTCTTGACAATGTTTTTATTTTTGCGTAGAAAAATTTACTACAAAAAACATATTTTTAATAAACAAAATGATTTATATTTTGTGTAACATTTTCTTATATTACTATTACTATTAATATTATTATTATTATTATTATTATTATTATTATTATTATTATTATTATAATGTAGGAAGTTCTGAGTCAAGTAAACGAAGATCATCCTACCATAATATTAAGCGATATATCTGCTCAGGATATAAAATCAATTATTGAATTTACCTATCATGGAGAAGTACGTATTCCAGTAGAAAATATTAATAGTTTGTTGGATGCAGCACGATCTTTAAGAATATGTGGTCTTAATGAGGTATATTTTTTCTCTTCTTTTTTTTTTTTTCATATAACATAAAAAATGTCTTAATAATAAAAAATTGTATAATCTGTCTATAATATGTAATTATATTTGTAGATTGATGATTTTGATGAAAATGATACCATTATTGATAGCAAAGATGCGGCTGAAGATAATATTGATCATTTACCAGAAATAAGTGAAACGGATGAAATCGAGATAAATACATTAAATAATAAATGCGAATTAGGAAATTTAAAAACTGAGGATAAGATAACAGAAAACTCTCTCTTAAATAAAAGAAGAAAAAGAAAAAGAGATGTGATGAAAAGAGAATATAGTGATGATATGTTAGCATCGGCTATTAATGATTTAAGGCTTGGTCAAACTTTAATAGAAGCGGCTACCAAACATAACATACCACGTTCTACATTATACATGCGTGCTAAAGGATTGGGTATACATTTAAATGCATCTAGGAATGAATATCCTGCCGAATGTATGCAAGCGGCAATAGATACTGTGATCGGTTAGTACTTGTCATACTATTTACACTTCTGTTTTAAGACCAACCATAAGAGCATTATAAAATTATTATAGCTGGTACTAGTCTACAACAAGCATCAGAAATATTCAGTATTCCTAAAACCGTATTATGGAGACGGATACAAAAGCAAGGTTATCAAATCCTACGCTCCGAAATGAAAAGATCTTATGGATCGGATAAACGTGAAGCAGCTGTTAAGGCTTTAGAAAGAGGAGAAAATTTAACTAAAGTTGCTCTTGAATTTCAGGTAATTTTCAATTTAATTTCATTCTATATGTTTATTCATGCGTGTATTTATTTTCATATTTTTATTTCGTAGATACCCAAGACAACATTATTTAGAGACAAAGCAAGATTAGTGGACGAAGGGAAATTACCACTTTCATTTTGGAAAAAACGTAAGACAGAAAATGAGGAGTTAAAAAAGTCGAGATTAGAAGAAGCCGTTGCTGCTTGTAAAGGAGGGAAGATGTCTCAGGCGGCAGCATCCATGGCTTATGATATACCAAAGACTACGATATGGAGGCGGTTGCAACAGGATAGTAACAAGTCGGAAAGATTAACAAATAAAAAAAAATCACAGAGAAGTATTGAGACAACATCGAGCACAGTTGATAAACCAAAGCAAGAAGCATCCGATTTTACGTACTGCGAGGTAATATATTTATTATATATTTCACATATGATTATTATAGAAAATAATTATAATTAATTACAGGTCGCGTCAGAAATTCCGATAACATATATAGATGAAAATAGTTTACCGGAGGATTCTGTTATTATTTTAACGACAGAGGATATGGATGGTCTTAATTTAGAAGAGGGAAGACAAATAATTGTAAATTCTGTGAGTATTTTTTTGTTTAAATCACACAAATTTAATTGTTTTAATTAAAAAGTAATTTTCGTTATAGGTATCAAGTCATGAATATGTTCCATGTAATCTAAATATAGAAGAAAATTCTAATTACACGCAACCAGAAAGTTAGTATCAGTGATAAAAAATTAGCTACATAGTAATTTATAATATGTAGCTGATAAAAAAAAACAAAAATATTGACTTATCAATCATTTGTTTATGATATTCAACTATATTTTATATTTATTATTCTCTTTTAGTTATAACTATGTCCTTTCTTAATTTATTATTTTAGATTAACAAGATTAGGACGAAGGATATTATATTTTATAACGTACGTGATAAACGTAACGAACAACGAAAATGATTTTCTTTAAAAGAATTATTTTTTAAATGAAAATGTTATATACATAATTATATTGTAAATAATGCTCGTTCATTTATTTATTATCAATTAAAATAAGGCGCAATATTATATTATCATTTTGCAGTATACATTTTATGTTGTAATTATTGTTAAAGTTATTATTGTATATTCCATACATAACAGATAACTATAATATTTTGATGTATTATAAAAAAACAATGTTTTCTTATTTTATCGAGCTGAATTGGAAACAAATCTAAAGTTAAAAAACAGTAATGTTAGATAAATATAAAACTGTTATATATTTATACGAAAATATTCGATTCGGTTTTATTTCAGTACTCTGATAATCGAGTTTAGGACAATTTCTATTTACGTGCTTTGAAAGTTACTTGTAGAATTCTTCTACGCGTGTAATTCATTTGTTGTATATTTTCGTGGTTTTCATAATTAAACATTCTTTTATATGTGAGCTCGACTTAAAAAAAAAATGAATATATACAATTTTATATATAAAAGCAATAAAAATATAAAATACCGTTCGTTCAAAATTTGTAATTGTTTGAGTTAGTAGGATTATTTTTGCGAATTAATTTTTCGAGATTTTAATACAACGTGAGAAACTGAAAATAAAAAGATAAAGATACGTATCTTCTGTTCTATGAATATACTAGGGGTAAGTGTACAATGTAGATACGTATGTATAGAAATGTGTCATGAATGATTGATGAGAAATTCATTGTGGGCTGGAGAAATTATAAATAGATGATTATTTTTGAAGTAGACATTTTTTATATTAAAGAAATAAATTGTTTTCTTATAGCCGTAACTATTTCCTGAGATATCACAGTATTTTTCAATTTAATGAAAAATTTGTGCGATGATAAGATATTACAAAAATCTCTGCACTCGTTTGAAATTACAGGAGCCACACACAGCTAATAATTGAAATTAGTTAATAAAATGCTTAGAGATAAAGAAGAAAAGTAAAAATAGAAGTAAAGATTATATAAAATCAATTGGAAAAAAAGGAGCAATTAACGGAGTCTTGAACTTTTCCTGAGAAACGATCCAATTAATATGCTTGACAATACAATATTTTTTTTACTTGAACAATTTATATTCGATTATACCGAAGACGAAAATAATTTCGTTATCGTAAAGAAAGAGAGAGAGAGAGAGAGAGAGAGAGAGAGAGAGAGAGAGAGAGAGAGAGAAAGAGAGAGAATATCTTTGATTTAATAACGATACGCGAACGGAATCGTCCTTTCAATTTTGATCCTTATTACTCGTGCTTCTGATAATATAAAACCGATCGTTTCTTTTTCCTTTTTTTTTTTTAAAGAAATGTGATATTTCATTAAATCGTATTCCTCGTCCTGCGACTTTTCGTAAAACGTTAAACTATGCTATTTTTTTTTTTATTTCTTTTTTTCTCGTTGAGAGATAAAAATAGTTTCTCATCAAACTTGAAGGAACTGAAAAAGTACATACAATTTGCTTCGTTGATATAATACCATTCAGGAATACAAATTTAATGAGAAGTATTGAGAATCGGTGATATTTGAAGGTACGATAAAAATAATGAAAAAAAGGGGTCGAATATTATTGTAAAGTAAAATTTACTAGAATAAAAATAAGAAAATTTTTCAAATTTTTTAGTAGTAGGCGAACCTGTGAATGGGTTGCTTATCGCGAGAAGTTTAGTAAATTTTTTTGCAATATTACCAACGATTGGTTGCCATAACTTTATGCAAATTTAAAAATTATGATTTAATCGTCATAATTGTCTTTGCCATTATTTTTTTTTAATAATATAAATAGTAAATAATAACATATCCAAATATTTGCCTTGATAAAATGCTTTTAAAATTGGTCTAAATTTTGTACCTTTGCTAACTGAGTGACGCCATAGGAATCGCCGCCGAGTTTAGTTAGTCTCCCTCTAATGTATGGTAGGTCTGAGAGATTGACTGGACGAAATTTGGATTTTGATAAAATATGTTGTGTCGTTTTTCCATGGGTTCTTAGGCTATTCCAGTGAATCCTTCGGTATAATTGCATCTTCGGGGATGTAAAAACTGGAAGCTACACGCGAAACCAGGTTGGTAATGGAAGTATCGTGTTACAAGTTTTCAGGAGAAAGCATTAAACTTACTTAGTAAGGATTAGATTGACCATCACCAGAGGCCAATCGATTTTGAAGCGATGAGATGTTTATTTCCAAAGATGTAATATTGTTCGCTTAACAAATTTAATATGCGATATTTTAGTATACTTTGTATTTGGAACACAAAACCAATTCGTAATTCGGATTCAACTAAATAACTCGATTTGTACGTATAAATATAATATCATTACCACAGTTGATGTTCATTGAAGATGTTTTTAGAAATACTCAGAACAGTTCGAGAATGTTTAATTAACTCGTGAGAAAATTGAACCGGTCAATAATATAACGGCAAATTGGGTCAAATCCGAGATGGTTTTGTTTCCCTCCGTCAGTTCAGAACTTTCGAAATATTGAATTAAAAAAATCGGGTTGAGATAATTTCTTTTTTTTTCTATCTTAAAAAGCTATCATCTCTTTGCGACGTTCGTATGAATGTGAAAGAACAATTATAAGAAAAAGAGATATTTTATTTATTCCTGGTTGGATATTTCTCAGCTATTAGATTACTTTGAATCTGTAAAAATTTGAAAATCAAGAGAAAGAGAAAGAGAAAGAGAGAGAGAGAGAGAGAGAGAGAGAGAGAGAGAGCGAGAGAGAGAGAGAGAGAGCGAGAGAGAGAGAGAGAGCGAGAGAGAGAGAGAGAGAGAGAGAGAGAGAAAGAAAGAGATATATCAATGAGATTAAAAACATAGCCAATTGCTTTTTCCCCGAAATAGAAGTAATAATATTGAAGCTTTGAGAGGAACAATTAATCAAATTCGGAATTATATTTCTTTGTTGAGTGTTAAATGTTATTATTGAAACGATATTATTTTTAAGCTTTACTCGTCACCTTTTCTCTTTCTCTCTCTCTCTTTCTTTATGATAATTGAAATTGATCGTTTCGTTTAGAGAAGTAAATTATGAGTAGCGTTTTGATTTGTCTATCAAATCAATAATTATTAATTGATTGTTCGGTATATTTATATTTCCATAAAAAATGTTTTTTCTCGCGTTTTATTCGTAGATAAAGTGCAATGGAAATTTCTAGCGTTTTACAATACGAAAATTCTTTCGTATGAACAATTATGTTTTCCTATTCATTCGAATTCCGAAGGTTTTACCGTAGTACACATTTTATACTTTGTATTATTTTTTTTTTATCAACGAACGAATATATTTCTTTCAATTGCATTTTCATAAAAATAAAAACATCGCTTTTATTTTTAACAACATATATTTTTCTGATTCTTGCAGAAGTTGCCAAAGTTGTCCAAGTGGGAAAATTCATTACGAGCATTGGGTTAAACTGGGTATATTATGAAGGTAAAATGCTAAAAATCTTTTAAAATGTAATTCAACTTGTTAATATTTAACATCATAACGATAGATCACTTCAAAATGATATTTACAAACATCAGCAAGTGAATTCGAACTTTCGATCCGTAGTGAAAATGCTTTATGTAATACTTGGACATTCGATAATCGATACGCAATTCCGATAACTCGATTATCAGAAAAGAATTGGAAAAACCGTTATTCGTTAGATGAGAATGTTCTCGAAACTGGAAGATACGTCGATCGAAAATCTAATGTCGCTTTAAACGGTGTTTAACAGTGACATCGTAACCACACCGATCGAGGCATATTATGCAAATTTTGGCCTCGAGAAAGAAGCACTCGTATCGACTCATGAGCTCCAATGTATATTTTTTCTATCTCTCTCTCTTTCTTTCTCTATTTCTCTTGATTTTTCTCGTTTTCACCCTTATCTTCTTTCTGATTATTTTTCACTTCGATGCACTTTCGCACGTGTCGGAACATTTAATCTGCATATAAGATAAGATTAAATGAGATATATGTTTAGTGAGTAAATTTTACCTACGTTAGTAGACAATAAGTAAATGTGTGCATATTTATAATAATCTTCAAGATTATCTAGGGAAATTTATCTCAAACGATTATAAAATATAATAAATAAAGCGTGGAATACATATATATATATATAGACTTTTTTTTATTTAAAAAAATTAATAAAAATTTAATATCTTCATTCTTTCGGTATCAATTTTCTTCGTAATCCGTGCAGATTTTATATACATTTTCACCCGTTTTATTAAAAACGATTATAAGATAAATATACCGTTGAATATATTTGTTTTTCTTTTATTTATTGTTATTTATTATTATTTGGAACAATTAATAAAAATCTAATATCTTCATTTGCGCAGTTTCAATTTTCTTAAAAATCTGTGCAGATGTTACATGCACTTTCGCGCGTTACTGCTAAGCGGCGTTAGAAGATGATAATGAAGTTAACTCTAATAGGGAAGTTAATTAATGTGTACATGTGTGTGTGTACAAGTTAGAGATGATGTCTTTGCTAATACGAAAGACATAGCCATTTCAACTTCCATCGAACTCGAGTTTACCGAATTCCGAAACCTGTAGCTAGTCGATAAAGTACAAAAGTTTGATGTACTTTACTTTAGATTTATCCAAAATGCCGAATAGACTCTTATCTTTATCTGACACGTATCTACCCGACTTAATTCTTTATTGGATTAATAAATCAAATCTTCTTCTTCTATAAAGAATGTCGAAAGGAAAACTTTTCCTTCGAATCACAAAAAACATTTATTTAAAACCAAAAAAGAAAAAGAAAAATTACAAGAACAAATAAATTTTCTCATCTAAAAAACCGTAAATATAAACGCAAAAAAAATAAAAAGTAAAAAAAGGAACTAAAGAATGTCCATTGTGAAAGTTTAATATTTAAAATAATATTCATATCTATATAAAAGTTTTATAAATCTTCGTTTAAAAGAAAAAGGGAGAAGGAATTATTACTGTAGAGATAAAACGGTAGCTTGCCGTGATGCGTTTAATAACGCAAAACGTGTTTTTTTATACGCAAGTAAGTATTCTAGTTTGAGAACCTGAAAGATCTAGTTCGGTAGTTCGAGATGATAGCAGCTGTACACGATTTAACTCGTACGCATAGATGTACATACATAAATACATATATATATATATACGTGTAGAGTAGTAGTCTGCAAATGCTCACTGGAATTCTCTCAAGTAATTCCGAGTACGCTGTTAGTAGAGATCATAAGTTGGTGTTAGGTGTTAGATTCCGCTTTGTATCGCATTCCACATTCTGCACTTCCGATAAATTTCTCTCTTCCACTTTCGATCGAAGCGAGCTCAATTTTGGTCTTCATTAACGTTCGTCTTCATAAGAAATTTATAATCACGCGAGCAGGAAATCGATTAAATAAAAAAAGAAAAAAGAAATCTACGCACATTTATGAGTGAACAAAAGAAATTTTTGTTAAGCCCCTGTTAATAGGCAACTAGCATTACATATTTGTACAAATCAGTTGCATACCTTACGGGGGCTTTAAAAAGTTACTTACTGATAGATGGCGCTTGCTAGCGAAATTATTGACGAGATATGGAGTGTTGCATAGCTTCAGGCACGAAACAAACAAACTATTCGAATAAATTAATTATTAAATGTATAATTACATGGGGAACGGGCTCGGTCGTTTCTCTATCAACAATTTCTTTTATCAATTTTGTATAATCTTCGTAGGTATTATAGAAAGCAAACAAATATCAGAATTTTTGAGAAATCTTTAATATCGGTCATTTAAAAAAAAATATTCTAATTATTATAAATATAATATAACGTCCAAATTTCAATAAATATTGATTTTATCTTAATAAATACTATAGATTATCTCTCTTTCTCGAGATTATAAAAAAAGATAACTTTGTTTACTTTTGTTAATATATTCAAAGTATTGAAAAAAAGAAAAAGCAAAAGAAAAGAAAATATAGAAAAAAGAAAGAAGTATAAGAATAAGTAATAGTAAGAAAAATAAAAAGAAGGTCATGTTTGAAGACCGAACAGGTGTCTGGCGTGAATTTGGTGGGCAGTCCGGAGGATACTTGAGGGAGTAAGCGCTTGCGCATTGAAAGGATGCGCGCACCGGTGCATCATGCGCGCTTTAACGTGTGATGGCTCGGCTTTTGTAAGGGGTTGATAGGATATGAGAGAATAGTAGGATGGTGGTAGTGGTGGTGATGGTGGTGGTGGTGAGAACGCTAGGGGTGGGATTGAAAGGAAGGATAGGGAAAGGAATGAGGGCTAGTGGGCTAGTAGTTCGCGATAAGACATCAGGAGTGGATTGTCATTGTCGTCGTCTTTGCGGTGTCTATTGTTGCGACGATTATTATAATTCGATTCGTAAATGTTGAAATTTCGTTCGTGAAAATTTCATTGAAAAATTGTTCGTTCGGTTGATAGACAGGGTGAGATTAAACTGAGAAAGACACAATAACGGGTTTCTATCAAATTTAGATCTATATATATGTATTTAATATCATGTATACATATATATAGATCTTGTAGATATTTTTCTTTCTTTCCCTTTTTTTTTTTTATATTTATATATGTATGTCTATATATTTTCTTTCTTTTTTTCATTCTTTATGTCATCGTTAGCATAAATTTTTTCAAGGGAAGAGGTCGATCAGTGCGCAAGAGCGCGCGGATTATCAGCTCACATGTATCAACTATATGTCCTTTCGAAGGAACTTGGAAATACTCGAAGAGGATCGTTCGCCGAATATCAACAAGGTGGCGATCGATCCTTATTTTACTTCTGATTGCTTCGATCACGGTGAATGTACGATTATTATTTTTTTTTTCTTACAACGTCCGATATTTGCCGAGCGACCGTTTCACTTCTTTCATTTATTACTTTTTCTTTTTTAATTTTTTCTTTTCCCAAAGAAAAATACATTTTGTAGGACAAAATAGGCGAGGTGAATGATTTCCTGACGATTCTATGAATGAATTTCTACAAAAGATCAAACGTAATGATTAATGATAATTTTGTTGATTACGGTTTATGTCGAAGATAAATCAGAGGGTTGGAAAGGATAGGGGATAAATCTAGTTAATTTTAGGTTGATAATAATTTTCTTTTTATGAGTTGCGTCGAAAGTAATTGCGAGGATTGGAAAGGGGAACCGATGTTGAATTAAAATTTTTTTCTATGGAAGTATTCATATTGAATGATACTTTTTAGTTATTACATTCGTGACTTTTCGAATTAAATTAATTTAAAAAAAAAATGATTTCATCATTTTTCTTATAAATAAATCATCAAGAAAACAATTTTGTAATTGTATATGTATGAGTTTTATGGTATATTGTAAAAAAACTTTTTGCTTTGTTTTAATTGAAAAGAACAGAAAAAACAATGAAATGATAAAATAGAAAAAGATGGTAGACAAAAAAAAATTGTTGAAAAAGTTTGGGTCAATCTGGTGCATCGAGAATGTTAATTACTGAGGCCGCAAGATATTGGATAGTCGAAAGAAATTAAGTTTCTGACGAAGAATTTAAAAGTTTTCTATATTTTTCTTGAGGCTCTTGCCACGTATAACTCTGTACGTTCATTTACATATTTTCAAGTTGTTTTACTCACTTATTTAAGATTTATCTTCTTCGGTGAAATTGACAAAAGATTTTCCAATTTTGCTATAATTTATATAAATTGTATATACTCATAGATTAAAAGAAGAAGAAAAAATAAAGAAGATAAAACATAAAAATAAAAAGAATTACTTATATCTTTAACAATTTATTTGATTGAAGTCAAATGCTTATATTTATTTATATAAATATATATATGTAAGATTTAAAAGAAGCAGAAGAAATAAAGAAGAAAAACAATCATTATTTATTGTTTTAAAAATATACCTTTATAGTATTATTAACGCAGAAATCAGAATCCGCAAGTAGTAATAACTGATTAAAGTCAGACGTTTACTAATTTATATAATGACATGTAAACATAACATTTAAAAGGAGCAAAAGAACAAAAATAGATTATAGTCAGATGTTTACCCGATGCATGAACAAATCGTTTATTTTCTTGTTATAATATACGTTTCTAATCGTTTTAATTATTCGGAAGAGGTTGCATACAATGTTAGAGTAACATGCGAGAGACATTAATAAAGCGCGAACATTGAACGTTTTAATGTAACAAATTGTTATTGGCTAGGAGAATGTCGTAGCTTGATAAACCTTTCCCCAGAGAACAAATTTATTTCACGTATACGTACTACCTTGAACAAGTCCAAATGTTTTTGTCTTATGGTATATCCTGGTTTGTTAGTTACCATTGTAAAAACAAGTATCGTGTTTACCTATGCGAATAATCTACTTTTTGTACCTTCTTCTTTATCTTCTATTTCTTTCTCTCTCTCTCTCTCTCTCTCTCTCTCTCTCTCTCTCTCTCTCTGATTCGTTACTTGACCAACAATGAATAATACCATGTGCACAGTTACGCTAGACTTACTTTATTTCTAATGGGATTTGGTTTTGTAGATTGTTCCAAGGAAAAACTGATTTATCCTGAAAGAAAATTAAATACTATTATTTGATATATTTTAAAAGCATGTATGCATATATATATATATATATAGTAAAGAACAAATGAAGTATTTTATTTCAAATAGGGTAATTTTTAATTTTACGAATTCCATGGAATTCGCTAGACTAATTGACAAAATGTTAAAAATTGTATAATATAAACAAACTGATGAAAACGCGCTTAACGTAAATTTGATACGTTTTTTCGATTCTTGATTTATTTCGTATCTTTTTTTTCTTTTTTCTCTTTTTTTTCTTTTTTTCTCTTTCTCTTCTCACCATTTAATAATACAATCACATTGAAACCGACAATTTGACGTGTTATACCGTTTGTACTCCGTTTATTCGAAAAGTAATGCATTTCACGTGCGTACGAGCTCAGGTAATTTTCTGATGCGCGATCGATACCCAATACGAGCCTTGAATATTTGCATAGAAAACAGTATTTCGCAGCTTGTCTAGGTGGTTACATTTTTCGATTTGATATTCGTAAATTTGACTAATGTCATTTCCGGAGTTATTGCTTTTCGTAACTTCGACAATTTTTCTATCTCTTTTCATCGTAGCTTCGTATTTACCTTTTATTACTATGAACGAATTTTCTTTTTTAAATGGACATTTTTTTTTTTCCCAATTATTTCTCGCAAATAGTTTAGAAAATTAATTTTTACGGCTTGTTATTTCTTTTCGTTCAGATTTGTTTTTTTTTTCGTTTTCCTACAAATTTAATATCCATTTTTGTATTTTTTATTTTTCTTTTCTTTTTTTGTAGCAAAGCTGATCACATGTATCAATGTTTTCCACGATCATCGATAAGTCAGTCGTGTGATATAAAAGCACGACCAATTTGATTCAACAGGTTATGTCGATGTAGGGACAGAAAAAAAACAAATGAATAAAAAGTAGAAAAATTACGAATAGATCGGTCCGTGTATTTCTCGTTGTGATCTATCGCAGTTCGAATGAAACAACGAGATTCGGCCGATAAAATTTATCCATAAATCTCTGTCCGATATATACATACATATATATATATATATATGATATATACGCATAAACATATATCGATAGCTCACGAGGCGTGTATAAATGTATATATAGGATGTACTATTGTTCCTAGATTAGAGCGTGTACCGATTAGAAATTCTAACGACCGACAAACATAACCGGCGAAAGCCATTCTTTCGTTTTGTTACTTTCCTTTCTTTTGTTTTATCAAAACGTAACAATACGTGCTCGTAACTGTTATTATTGCTTTGGGATTTTGATATTTCCTTAATAACTCGATTAGAATACAAATGTTCATGTAATAAAGTGCACTCGTTACGAATTTGAAGGATACTTTGTACTTTGAGTATTTAGTTTAATAGAATTTTTAAGAGATGAGTAGGAGTGGTAAAATGTTAGAAATATATTCTAAACTCTCGTCATGATAGTCATCAAATTTTTATATTCATGTGTAAACGTTTTGAAAACACAAATTAAATAATATCATTATTTTTGAAGATATGAATAATATATAAATTATGTTCAATAATATTTTGTTCGATTGAAAAAATATATATTTTTTTCATTCTTTCATTTGAATTCTTTGTGTAAAATTAAACAAATAATTATTTTTAGTTGGCGTTTGAAATGATATCTAATTTTAAAATAGCTGTTAAAATTTAAGCTAGTCCGTTAGTCAAAACGTCTCGAATTCTTCAAGCTTTCCGTATAAATTCACACGAAAGGTAATATTATTAGAGAAAATGTTCATTTGATCCGGTTGCAGTCATGACCAATAGTAGTAGTAGTATCAGCAACCTCGTTACCAGCCACGTGTTTTTTGGTCTTAGCCGCAGCTTTAAAAAAAGGGAAAGAGAAAGTAAAAAAAAAGAATAAATATTGTGTTTCCAGGGTGAATAGAACAGGATGGAAATAAAATTGAGAAGATAAAGGAAAAAAAAAAGAAAAGAAAGAAAGGAACTTGGTGATCATCAAAAGGGGTAACGATATATTTTTGTTCATAGTCGAGGTATAGGTACGCGTAGTGTTATTGTTTTATTGTTAGTTGAATGTAACTAACGGTCGCTCGGAGCGTTGTGTCGGTACGTGTTTTTGTGGAGTATAAAATTGAACGAATGAAATTGGACGAATGAAATTGGACGAATGAAAGAAAGAAAGAAAGAATTAAAGAATGAAAGAAAAATATATATGTATGTACATGTTACTGTGTTAAAACGCGAAATCTTTTAATCTATAGAATAACTAATTATTTCATGGAATAATTAAATTGACCAGTTAAAATATAAAATAAGGCAGAATTGCATAGAAGAATATGCATTCACATGCATAGAATAACTAGTTAAAGGGGTGTATAATAAAATTCTTGTTATATGCTTTTCCTAAAACGCCTAGTTATTCCATGCAATACTTAGTTATTTTATACATTAACGGAATTAAACACTTAAATGGTGATATATATATATATATATATGTATTATAAAATTGGTTTGTTCGAAGTAACTAATTAATAAATTTTCAGCACTGGGTATTTCAAGACGTAAAGATTAATCAAAGGAACGATGAAAGAGAATTAGGATGTGCGTTGGAGTGTTAAAGACGAGGGTTAAGATTTTGGAACAATGTCGTCTTACCGGGTTCGTTCCTCGTGAAAGAGCTGCGTTGTTGTCTGTTGCTGGTGTTTCTTCTTAAAAAGTAGCCAAGTTTCAAGACACGAAGAAGAAGAGGGTGGGAAAGATAGAAATAGAGAGAGAAAGAGAAAGAGAGAGAGAGAGAGAGAGAGAGAGAGAGAGAGAGAGAAAGAGAGAGAGAGAGAGAAAAAAAGTAAAAAGTGTTGTATTGTTAAAGTATCACGTTAAATTTGCATTCTTGAATGATAACGCGAGTAATCGAAAATTCATGTTGGTGTATTTCTTTTGAAAAAGTAGGCACGTTTGAAAGGGTAGAAGAATATTATTGTGTGTATTGATTTTGAAGAGGGTGGGTTTTTCTATAGAAATAAAGAAAAGAGTGCAGTGTAGTTAAATAATTGTGTTGAATTCGCGTCGTTGAACGATGACGGTCTTCGATGATTTCGCATTAGTGTGTTTCTTCTTAAAAAGTAGTCAAGACAAAAAGTAGTGAAGACAATGGGAGAAAGATATAAATAGAAATAAAAGAAAAAAAAAGTAAAGTGTGTGTTCTCGAGCGATGACTCGGCGGGCATCGATGATTCCAATGATCGAGGTTGAACGAATGGAACCTTACGAGGGTTTCTTCCTGGAGTCTCTCGAAGTGGAGAACATGTCGTCGCTGATGGACGTAGAGCTCGACAATAGTGAGACAGTGCGATCGGTCGTGAAGAGAATATTGAACGAGAGTGATTACGAGCTGAAGATTGTCCTCAAAGAGGACGGTATCACCGGTGTAGGAGGAATAGTTGCGGCAGGTGTAGGAAGTGAAGGAGGAGCAGCTGCTGGAGGTGGTGCGCGCACCGACGTAGACAACTTAGGACTGAACAATTGGTGGGCGATGTTAGCACTGGTTCTCGTAGTTGGCACAGCCGCCGGTAATATTTTGGTTTGCCTTGCCATTGCTTGGGAAAGAAGATTACAGAATGTAACCAATTATTTTCTTATGAGTCTTGCCATAACTGATCTTATGGTCGCCATCTTGGTCATGCCATTGGGTATTCTCACTCTCGTTAGAGGTAAGACATCCTGATTGGATCTTATATTGTAATTCTAATATTAATTATTAATCTTCAAATATTCATTGTAATCATCGATTTTTTGATATTTCTTTTATCGTTCTATCACTTATTTTGATAAGATCTATAAATTATACATTAAAAATGATTTGATAATTATTTGATACTCGGGATATTACTTTACATTAATAACGATTATAGATTAGTTGCGTTTTTAAAGTTATCTATATTAATCAGAGAAATGACGAATCTCAATAGGGAATTTATAACAGTTGCGTATATTATGAAGAGAGAGGGAGATTATTTAAATATTCGGCAAGATGTAATATCCTGTCCCCATTCGTCGTCCTTTGCCATTCGTAATTATTCACGTTTGACGATCGAATCGTTCGTGTCAATTATTTATTAATGCGACGTGACGCGACGCTACGTGACGTTCAATTTGACGTTTCCGATTATTCCTAATAAATATCTTGATACGAGATACGATCGTACTTTTTTTAAAATATATATAATTTTATTTTATTTGTTTATTTTTACCTCAAACTACAATCATTTCTATACAAATGTATGCATGGTACCCAAGAAAGTAGGTGAAGGAGAGGGGAATGGAATGGAAGGGTGGAATAGTTTTTCTGTGTCTCGTTTTTCATATGGTCATTAATCTTTATGGTGCAACCGAAAGCAGAAACGTTTGGTGCATTCAATTCGCGTTAGATTATAAGTAATGGGAACGCACGCTATTCTATGGTAGAACGGTGGTTGTAGATCAGCAGCTGCTGTACAGTAGCACACAAGATTGAAAAGCGTGCTGGATTTATTTGCCAGCTTCCAACTGACGGTTTTTAGCTCTTAAACGTTTTTCTCGATTCACTATCCATCTCGAGGATCGTCTACAACGAACGAAGATAAAGTACGAGGATCCAAGGATTTTGGACATTTACTACGACTCATTCTAGCAATATCGTTGATGTACTTGATAAAAAGTACAAATAAAATAGTCGTAGTCTTGTAAGGTTGGTAAAACTGAGGCTTTGATAGAAATCTGTCGATCGTGTTCGAGTTATAAACTTTATAGCGAGTCATTGAAATCTTCATCAAGTTGATGTATTTCTCAATAATGGACGAGGAACTTGACTCTTTTCTTTTTTCTTTCTTCTCCTGATGCATCACCGAATTCGAGTTTCCTTTTGTACCGAGATTGTCTCTCTGTCCTCGAACGTTCAAATGAAGATTTACCGAACAAAGAGAAAAATAGAAATATAAAGAGGCTAACTCGAGCGGTAAGTGGTCAAATAACATAGAAAACATCATTGAGATTGCATCTGTAAGTACTCTTGGACTTTTACGAAAGCTAACGAGAATGAATACGGCCTTCTTCGAATCGAATCGACGCTGAGCGTCGAATTTACTCTCCTTTTTCGAATTCAAGAGTTCACTTTCGAGGAGCAATAAGAAGGAGTCGAGGAGATTCCTTCGAGTGGCACTCATCCTATTCGACCTTCGATCAAATTCGTTCATTTCTTTGGTATTGCGAGAAAAGAAAATGAAGTTATATAGCGAACACAAAATCTTATTATTTCAATATTAAATATTTCCTTTTATTTATCATTCAAAGAAATCTTGTAAATAGTTTATGTGGTACGTATATATTTGATGGTGTTAGTATTTACAATGAAAAAGATCATAAATCCTTTCTATGTGTATACTTTATTACAAATTAACAATGAATAATCTAAAAGATCAAGAATTCTTTCTATGTGTATACTTTATTACAAATTAACAATGAATAATCTAAAAGATCAAGAATTCTTTCTATGTGTATACTTTATTACGAATTCTCTTTATCATTTTTATATCCATACATAAATTATATATCATATATATATACTTACATACATGCATAAAAATGGATTGTGTCTAAAGTTAGGTTTACTACAGGTTCTAACCCGTGGAAATTCCTAACGTTCCTGTTATTGCGTTCTATTATTTTAAGGTAGGTCGTTTCTACGACCGCACACGATTTCACTTTGAACGGAGACACTTGGCAAAGGATTCGAATGGATTGTTTTTAAATTTATTTCCGGAAATTCACCATTTATGGAGTTTATTCTTTATTAATAATCTTAAACAAATTTATTTTATTTAACTTCATTGATCATGCTACCAAGATTTATTAAAGCCGTATGGTTGTATTCAGATTACTTTGAACATTTACTTTTTCTTAATTTGTTTTTTTTTTGTCTAAACACTGAACTCGCAAAAAATTCTGTCGTCTGTTTCAACATTTTTTGACTGTTTTGCTCAAGTTTGCTATCAATTAAGTCCTAAAAAATCAAAAGATAATTGACCGACTATAAATGGATAATCTTCAAGGTTTACGAATAAATCCAAATAGAAAATATAAAGTCTTCTCGATTCGTTAGTTTCTATCGATGAAGAAGGATTACCGTTTTGTTAGTTACTCCCTTTGTAATCTCTTCGAAACTAGGAAAGGATTAACTGCCGTTTTCCCGTTCCAATGTGAAATGACCCTCCTTTTTCTTTTTCCTCCAACCATCACACAATCATCCCTTATACAAAATAAAGCAATCGATAAAAAGCAAAACGAAAAGTGTTTCGTTACTCGTAAAGTGTTCGTTTGCGTTCAATGTTAATTTTTATCGATTTTGCTATACAACAACCACTTGGGTTTTAGTTGTCCACTTTCGTTATGTTTACCATTCGATCTATAGCAAATGTTCTCTCCAATATAACACTTAATGCTCACTTAATTAGGCTTGCATTTGTTAAATCTCCGAGTGTTTGTACAATCAAATGTCTTGTTCTTCTTATTTTATTTTTTGCTTTCTTTTTTTTTCTCAACGATCTTGATTTATACGATGGGAAATAAAAAGGGGATTGGCAAATGTTACGGGGAAATGGAAAGAATAAAAGGGAGGGATAAAAAGGAGTGAGTAGTCGGATTTGAAAAAAAAGAAAATAAAGAAATAAGATAAAAAAAAGAAAAAGGAATGTTTCTGTACTTTTAGACTTTTCTTTATCTCTTCTTACGTCTACTATGACTTCAGGGAACAATATTTACCATCGCTACATTATTCAACGATAACATCGTATCTCAAGTGTTCCTCTATGCGTTGCATGCTAAGAAATGCAGACGTATGTTGTTTCTCTCCTACCCCCTCCATCCTTTTTTCACTCTCTCATACACACTCTTTTTTTCTTTCTTTTTTGTCGGGTCTTGGAAAGTTTACCATTTTTCATTTTCTATGGCCTATTTTTCTTTTTCATAGAATAACGTTCGTCAGTCGATTCATAAGACGTGCGTGTCTCGTTTTCTTCTCAGTCGTTTTCATCGAACACAGGAAACACGAATAGTTGGTAAAGTTTGCTCATGCAATGCTGACTTAGGTATTACTAACGTCGTTAGTATTATAACAAGATTTTTCGTGCATAATTCGTTCTCGCATGACTTTTAAAGTGGATGTGTTTTAATACATGGACTTGAACATGAATTTTGATTTTTCTTACGAAATGATACTATACCCATTATTCATTTTTATTTTCTTTTGAAAATATTTGAGAACAATGATCAATGAACAATGATAAATCGTAAATTATTCTTTTCCTTTTTCTTCCAATTGCGTATGTGTTGAACGAACGCGCGTATATGTGTGTGTGTGCGCATAAAAATAAATTGGTCGCTTAAAAAAATGGTATCGTTCTCGATCTTCTCAGTGATCTCGCATGATCAATGAGGGTTGCCAATGAAGGGTCTTTGGAGAGTAAACCGACTGGTGCACTCGAGACTCTCGATACAACAAGTGTCTGTGGCAATGAAGCGTTTTGCTGTCAAAACAATACTGCAAGCATTATACGTATGGAACCGTACGGTACGGTACGGTACGCTACGGTACGGTACGCTACGGTACGGTACGATACGCTACGGTAACGACGTAAAAGTTCAAGAGATTTTGAGAGAGCTTCTCTATACCATTCTTTTCTATTTGCACATTCACGTTGATAAAGAGAGTATATTACCAAATTTTTTGGATTACAAACACTGTTGAGAGTGCATATTTCTTTAAATGATTTCAATAAACATCAGCGATTTGAGATTTTTTTTCTAAATAAATCTATTATTACCATGCACCCGATTGATTTTAAACAATACTTTTCTTTCTTTTTTATATTTTGTATTAGGGAATGTAAAAATGTTTATCGGATAGAGCACTTGTTTTCTTACCTGAAATTGTTGTTATAAAAAATAGGTTCTTATTTGAAAAAAAAAAAAAAACAACTAATTGTTAGTTGGCCTTGTGTGTGAAATTATCTTGAAACTTTTCATCTAAAATGAAACTGAATGTAGCATAAAATAAAAATTAGTGAGGTTATATTTGTGCTGCATGTTATAATACAATATTATTTCGTTATATTAAATAAATAATTTTAAGTTAATAAAGTAATCTAAATATACAGGAGTATAAATTCAAATATGTAACTTCAAAGTTACACGCCTTTGAGAAGGGTTAAAGTTACGTAAAAAAAAAATATTTTGTTACAATTAAGATACAAATAATTCTTGATGAAGCTGGTTATCAAGCAGATAAAGTAGCACATATAAGAGGACGAATCATGTGTCAGGTTGATGATACCCCAGCTTTTGCGGCTGGCATAACGTCACCAGCAACATGTCCGGCAACGAGATGACGCGACGCCAAGCCTGTTTATCAAATTTACTTTTCGTTTTGCCTTTTGTTTTTGCTTTAGACGAGAAAGTAGGAAGGTGCCCTCTTGACATTTGAAAAATGTGAGACACCCGTCTACCTTGTTTACAACCTTATCCCGAATTAATGTCCTTTCCTAGGAAATCTTGACAACGAGCCACCATTTATCGACACGATGTTAGAATTTCTTCTTTTTTTTTATTTTTTTTTTCAATTTTTTTTTTGGCAATGATTTATTTGACAGGCGAACGAAGGTAGAATTGCTCTTTTAAT